ACAACCCTTTCCTGTATAAATACAGCAGAAAAAAATTCAGGTGTATATACACCTCAGCTGCTGCTGCTGCAGCAGTAATATATTTTATTAACAAATAAAAGAAATTATAAAGACAAACAACACAGATAGAAGGAGATAAAAAAAAAACAAGAAGAGACAGAAAGAGACAGGATATACAAATAACATAAAACACAAAAAATACAAAACTAGGGTTTAGGGTTTAGGGTTTAGGGTTTAGGGTTTACTGGAATGCGTTCACGGTTGAAGTGCGCCAATTTATCCAACAAATGAAAATCCGATAGCAACTGCACGCAAACCCTAAACCCTAAACCCTAAACCCTAAACCCTAAACCCTAAACCCTAAACCCTAAACCCTAAACCCCCGAAACGCGCAACCCCTAAACCCGTCAAACCTTCAAACCTTCAAACCCTAAACCCCTCAAACCCTAAACCCTAAACCCCCCAAACCCTAAACCCTAAACCCCCCAAACCCTAAACCCTAAACCCTAAACCCTAAACCCTAATCTTACTACAGGTCCGTTGGGCCCCGCTGTTAGGGAGTTTTGGTTGTCGGCGACGGGGGCCCCCGTTGAGGTCGTTATCACGGGCCTCTTGGATTCCTCCATTCTGCTGCTGCAGCAGCAGCAGCAGCAGCAGCAGCAGCAGCAGCAGCAGTAGCAGCAGCAGCAGCAGGAGGGGGAGCAGGAACGGGAGCAGGAGCGGGAGTGGGAGAGAGAGAGAAGCAGCAAGAGGGACAGTTGTTGCAGCAGAAGCAGCATCAGCAACAGCAGCAGCAGCAGCAGCAGCAGCAGCAGCAACAGCAGCAACAGCAAGAGCAGCAGCAGCAGCAGCAGCAGCAGCAGCAGAAACACACACACACACACACACACGGTTAAAGCAGCTGCTGCCACTCCATAGCCACTCCGCAGCAGCAGCAGCAGCAGCAGCAACAGCAGCAAAAGAAACAGCAGACAAAAAAAGCAGCAGCAGCAGCAGCAGCAACAGCAGCAGCAGCAGCAGCAGCAGCAGTTGCTTTTTGTCTGCTTTACACAGCAGCAAGAAGAGAGAGTGATGATACTTATAAAAAATAAATTATATTTATTTAATTAATAAAAATAAAAAAAATAAAATAAATAAAATAAATAAATAAATATATAGAAGGCGGGATCGCTCACCAGGTGTATGTACAGCTTGCTTTCTTTGTTTTATTTTTTTTTTTCCCGACAAAAAAAAATAAATAAAATAAAAATAAATATAAATATAAATATTAATAAAACAACAAAAGAGACAGATATATATACAACTAAAAGGACACAATAATAAAGTTATTTCTGTGTTGCTGTTCTGCTGCTAGTTGTTTGCTGCTAACGCTGCTGCTGCTGCTATTGCTGCAACTTTAAGGTTAAAATTACTGTTTTTTATATTTTAATTTAATTATATTTAATAAATTTATTTTATAAATAAAAATAATTTTATTTTAGCTGCATATAGAACACAAACAAGATGCATATACACCCCAGCAAGGGGAGCGGCTGCGGCGCGTTGCTGCTGCTCTTTCTGTGTTTGTTTTTTTTATTTTAATTAAATTAAATTAATTAAATATATTAAATTCATTTTTATTTTCTTTTTTATACATAATAATATACATATTGCTGCAGAAGGTCTCTAGTTGCTGCTGCAGTGGTTGGTTGCTGCT